ACTCGGGTACAATGCAAACAGGAGAACAATAGGGAGTGTGCGAGGGAGCCCAGCCGGAGAGGGTATTGATCATGTTTAAAAAAAGAAACTCACACTGCGGAGCGCAGAAAAACCGGAGCGCCGCACAAGCTGGCTTCGCTAATTAGCGCGGGTGACCGTGTCAGCGCCAGCTCCGAGCCAGGAAGAAAACAATTCGCTCAACAAACAGAACATCTAAGAGGGAACAGAAAGAAAACAGCCACTCTCCTCTCACCTCCAGGAGATCCGCGCCGCGCAGGGAAGGAGGGCGTGAAGGGGCGCGCGAACTGCGTTGAGGCCAGGATCAGCGCGGAAGGCGGGAGCACGGTGGTGGGGCGGGGGGCGATCTCAGCTCCGGACCTCTGCAGGGTGGAGGGCTGAGGTGGCCTCCAGCATGGAGAGAGGGTTGTCCTTGTGCCCAGGACTGAGCTGCTCCGCCTCCTCCACCAAGGAAACCTGATGAGTTCCCTCCTGGCTCCCAGCTGACTCCTTCTCAGTGTTTGGATCACGGTGCTTTAGGAGTCCTGCTCTGGGAGTCCAAGTTGTGGTGGGGGAGGCAAAGGGGCGCCCTTGGTCAGAGCCCAGAGGCCTGAAACTAGAAAGGAGGTAGCAACGACCATAGGCTGGGCACACTGGGGACACCTTGGTGTCATGGTGGGTCAGTTCTGCTGGAGATGAGAGGAGGCCCAGGGTCCCTTAGTCTTAGGGGCTGTGGGCCAGCTTGCCACCAGGCCACCACCATGGTGGAAATGATCTGGAGGATAATAGTAAAGGGGCCTTTGGACAATTCGGGCTTTTCAAATGAAAAGATTTGGGTTATTTGGGTGGAAAATTACCAATGAATGCAGAGAAAACGGAAGGGAGGGAATGTCAGAAGAGAGTAAAAGAGGAAAGGAGAAAGGAAGAAGGAAAGGAGGGAGGGAGGGAAAAAAGAGAAGAAGGGAAGGGAGAAAGGGAGGGAGGAAGGAGGGACAGAAGAAAGGAGGAAAGAAGATGGAAAGGAAGGGAAGAGGGGAGGAAGAAAAGGAGGAAAAAACAGAGGGAGCGAGGGAAAGAAGGAAGGACACACCTTGTCTGCCAGCTACCTCAGCAATGCTCTGCGAGATCAGTAAGATCAGTAAGATCACTCCCTTCGTAAGGACACGGAAATGGGGCACAAATAGGTCACCCAGGGAGTAAATCCGCTGAACAGGTAGATCAGATGTGGGTGAAAGCCCAGGCCCCAGGATCCTGACAGTCTCTCTGGGCCCCGCAGGCGGGGTGAGTGTACACAGAGTGGGTGATGTTTGTCCTCCTGCTCATCATGGCACCTCACCCTCTTCATCAATGCCTCCTCTCCCCTGCTGCTCAGGCCCCATTGCTGCTTTTTTTTTTTTTTTTTTTCACACTAACTAGGAGAGCAGAAGCAAGCCTAGCTCATACCCTCACTTCAGAACACTCCCAGGAGGCAATGCGCTTGAGTGGGACCGAAATCAAGAGACCTATGCTTGAACCCCTACTTGCTAACTATGTGAGGCTGAACAAGTCACTTCAGCCCTGTGGACCTCGGTTTCATCATCTATACAATGGGGGTACCCACAGTTTCCTTACAAATTCATTATGAAGATTACACAGGACATTATATGTACTCCAAAAAGTCCTTTGTAAACCAGAAAGCACACACATTATTAGGAAGCATCGTATTATTAAAAGAGAATTCCAGAGTATTGAATGTCATTTTTTTTGTCTGTTTTTCATTTTTAAAAGTCCATAATGCAGTGATTTTTTTTAGGGTGCTATTTCCAGCAGCAGGGCATGAGGGTCAGAGAGACATAATAGGGATCTAAGGTCTACTACGGCCCCTCAATTCTTATTGTTGGAGTAGATCCTTCATTCCCTTCTCCAGTTCATCAGGGTCCTGAGTGTTAAGGTAGGTGGTACTTGTCAAGCTTCTCCACTGGGTCAGGTAATTCTGTGGAATCTCTCCCTTTCAGTGTGGACTTGAGGGCCAGTCAGTGACACAGTAGTAACACAACACTCTGCAATGCTGGACAGACTTGAGAAGGTCCTACACCATGTCCCAAGACCTCCCTGTGCTCTCCAGGCTGAGGATGGGGGTGGAATGCAGCATGAGGACTCTATTAAGGATGCCTATGTGTGTGTGTGTCTCTCTCCCATACTTTCTCATGGAAGAACTAAATAGATAAACTAAAAAAGAACAAAAGGAAAAAAAGCATGAACTCGATCATGTTTGTAAATGTACGTGTGAATGTGCTCACATTCATTTCCAGCTATTTTTGCTTTCACATCTCCGTCAATAGTTTTTGGCAATGCCTTTGCAACACCATGAACCTACAGACAGGAAATAGGACCCATCCATTTGTGCTGGTACAAGTTAAAGATTTTCTATAAAGTGCCCACATTTCCAGGCTGGGGGAATGGATTTCACTGCAGGAAAAAAAAAATATATTGTGAGGTGAGAGAAGTGCAGCAAAGGAAAATATTGGCCACTTTAATGATTTACAGAAGCATAAAAAACCTTCTTGCCTGCTGAGATTTCATATTTCCCCTCCTGCCAGGAAGGGGTCTGGGGTAGGGGGTCTGATTTGAGTTGTTATGTGAGGAAGCATGAGAAAACTAAGACTGGTTCCTTCCTGAACAATCTGTGAGCTCCAGTTGAGGCATGTCTGACCCAAGGAGAAAGGGATAGGAGAGGGGAGGGAATAGAAAAGCAATAAAGGTGGACAGTTGCTTTATGCATAGAGCATAAAATGCCAGCCCGGCAAGAAAACCTTAAGAAAGGCTGCCTCCTCATTTTATAGAAGTGAAAACTCAGAAAGGGTCAATGATATGGACTGCTTTTCTCAAGATTATCAGTCTAGTTTGTTGATAGACCTTCTAGCTGCCAGTCCAAAATTCTTTCTATTATATCCACTATTAATATTGTTATCATTATTTTTAGTGTAATCGTCACAACAAAAAGACCTTGGAGGGCTTTCTACGTGCCAGGAACTTCCTAACAACTTCTCATACATCACCACATTTAATTTTCATAACCAGTCTAGAAGATATGTGTTGTGATTCTCACTGTAGATGAGAACGCCGGGACTCGGAGAGATGGAATAACTTACTAAGATCATGCATTTGAACCCAAATTTATCTGACTCCAGAAACCATGCCAAAAATCACTTTCCAGCAGGCATTTCTAAAGAGCAAGGAATGTTGGAACAGAGAGTAATAAATGCTCTTACTCAGAAGAGCGGCCCAAACTCACCCACGGAGAAACACAGTCAAATATAACTGACTCTAGTAGTAGTTCAGAGGACGACGGCTTTGGTGCAAAGCCCAGGATGGTTAAATGTACATGGTAAACAAATGGGAAGCAGGTCCCTTCCTGTACAGTCGCAGTAATTTGAATGGCTTGCAGCAGTGAGTAGTGGGGATTGAGCTATTAATAAAGGGAGCCGGCAGAATGATTTACAATCAGACATTAATATGGAGATTTTCATAAACACAATAATTCACACCCAAGCAGAGTCATAAATGTAAACTTGCATTAACTATTCTAGTTGGCATGGAATGTCACACACAGTGTGAAATTGAACATTCCATTGTACTGTAATAATGGACTAATGGAAAAATTTTTCTTGAGGAGAGTGAGGAGGGAGAGGTTGGGGAAGTAGGGGACTAGATACTTCATATTTTGAATTTGTTCATGCCTAGGAGGCACTATCCCCAAACCCTGCCTTTGTCTACATTTTTTTTTAAAATAAGCTTTTATATTGAAATCATTTTAGATTTACAGAAAAGTAACAAAGACAGTATAGGAATTAAGTCCTATACCTAATTTGCACTATTTTGACGTCTTATGTAATCATTGGTCTATGTGTTAAACCTAAGAAATTAACATTGGTTGGGGCCAGACGGTGGTACAGTGGTAATGCAATGCTCTTCCACATGCAAAGGTCCTGTATTTGTGTCCCGAGGCCACCCTGTACCTACTGGGAACATGTGTGTGCCTGTATTCTGTCCTGCCTGAGGGTGTGGATGGATTCTAGCATGAAGATCTTGTTGGGGTCAACTGTCTGTCTGTCTGTCTCTCTCAGAAGAAATAAATAAATAAACTTTAAAAAAAAACATTGGTACCACATTGTTAACTAAATGAAACTGAAATCTGATTTTATTCAGATTTCACCAGTTTTTCCATTCTCATGTCCTTTTGTCCCTTTGGCCATTTCAGAATCCCATTCGGGATGTCCTATGGCATTTAGTCATTGCGTCTCCCTCGTCTCTGGCCTATGACAGTTTCTCAGTGTTTCCTTGTTTTGCATGACCTTGACAGTTTTGAAGGGTAGTGGTGAGATATTTTATAGAATGTCCCTCGATTTGAGTTTGTCTGATGTTTTTCTCATATTCATCTGGGGTTATGAGTTTTGGAAAAGACTACCGCAGAGCTGAATTGCCCTTATCATCACAGCATATCAGTGGGCATTATATCCATGTGACTTATCACTGGGGATGTTGACCTTTATCACTTGGTTAAGGTAGGTGGTACTTGTCAAGTTTCTCTACTGTAAAGTCACTATTTTGTTCTCTTTCCAAATTCTGTTCTTTAGAAGCCAGACACTATGTCCTGCCTATAAGGAGGAGTGGGGAGAATTAAGCTCTATCTCAGGGAAGGAAAAGTATCTACATATATTACTTATACTTAAAAACTTAATTTTAGATTAAACTCTCTGAATTTTATTTAAAAATTCCCTGTCTTCTTAAACAGATTATTTTGAAAGTAACTCAACTTTTCTTGATCACTTCCTATCATAAGTACATGCTCATCCTCTAAATTTTGTGACCTTTCCTTAGTTCTTTTACTCTTTGATCTCTCTACAGAATTTGACACTGTTGGCCACTCTTTCTGTGAAAACACGAATAGATTGCTGGCTTTGAGTCAATCACAGTATATACATTACCTCATTAAATCCTCACAATAGGAGTGACATCAGCAAGATGGAGGAGTAGAACTCTCCAGTACTCATCCCCTGCAAAAATAGCTTTTTAAACAGCTATACACACATGAAAATACCTTCACAAGAGCTAAGGAAACCAGGTGAGAGATCGCAGCACCTGGGCATAACACAGATATAAGAAAAGACACATTGAAGAGGGTAGGAGGGACAATTTCACATTACCTATATCCCTGCTCTCCCAGGCAGCATGATATACTTTCTACTTGGAGGAAGGAAAATGAAATGAGTACTGGGCTTACCTCAGACCCCAACTCTGGGCCGCCTCCAGTGAAACCAAATGCCCTTGCTGTCCTAGATTACAAGTCAGCACCCATGGACTGATCCTCTAAGTCTGCCTCTGCCAGGCTAACCCCAGAGCCCCAGGCTGTAGGCCAACTTCCACAGACTCAGACTAGCCCCCACAGCCCTAGATATAAGACCAAGACCTGAAAACCCTGCTTCCAAGCCTTCCCTAGCACAAGGCCAGTAGCCACTGACCTATGATCTAGTCCACTCCAGTACTAGGACAGTCTCCATAGCCACAGACCCAGCGCAGCGCCAGATCAACCCCACAGCCCTAGACTTTAGACCTATTCTAGCACCAGGCTGACATTTGTAAGCTCCAGTTCTAGGACAGCTTCCGTGGTCTCAGGCATCAGGCAAGCACCAGAAGAGCCAGATTCTAGGCCAGCCTCATAGATGGAGTATCTAGGCCCATCAATTGCCAGACCAGCCACTGAAATTGCAGAGTAGTTCCTACAGCCCTGGATGGTAAGCCAGTATCCACGGGCATAGTCTCCAGCTCCACACCAAGTGCGTCAGCACCCATGGGCCCAGCTCTAGGCTGACTACAATGGCTTCAGGTGCTAGACTGGAACTTACAGACCCCACTTTCAGGCCAGTCCCTTCTGCCACATGTTCTAATAGATCCAGAGTCCAGATATATCCCAGTGAACCATAGCACTGGGCTGGCCTCCACAAACCCAGGCCCCAGAATCATACCTATAGCCCTGATTTCCAAGTTGGCCTCTGTGGCTGTAAGAGCCAGACTTCCTCTCAGAACTCAGGTTCCAGATTTTTCCCCATAGACCCATGCTCCAGGCCCAATCCAGTGCTTGGCCAGTTCTGCAGACTCAGGCTCAAGGCTCATCCCAGCACTAGGTTAGTCCCTGTGGACTTAAGCTCGAGGTTGTCTCCTGTGAACACAGGCTCCTGACTCATGGACCTAGGCTCTAGGCTTGTCATAGACCTTTCCTGGTAGACCTGATGGTCAGGGCTTCCCATATTCTCAACCAGATGCCAGCCCACCCAAGTACTTCATTTATAAGCCCACTTGTGGACCATGTCAGATAATTTGCTCAGAATCTCTAGATTCTGACTGAGATGACTGGTGAGAGGTTTTCCTTGTTGAAGTCAATCTGTAAAGATTGGCTTCTTCACTGTCTTTGTTACCTTCTTCAAATGTGTTCACACTAATGTATGAACACAAATATCACAATGAGGGAAACAAGATACCACCAAGGAAACAAAATGAAGCACCAGTAACTAACACTAGGAATAGAGATTTAAGGGCTAGCTGGGAGTGTGCTGGTTAAGTCAGCTGGCTCTCACATGGCCAACAGTGTAGTTTGAGTCTCAGACCTGGTGGACTGAGGAACACACCAGGCACAAGTGCATGCATGTCCAAGATCCTGAGAGAAGAATGAAGGAGAAGGGATTGAAGTATGGCCATCCCCACTGGAGGATGCTTTCTCATTTCCTCTCTCTCTCGTCAGTGCACGTATACTATAACGACAATAACAACAGCAAAAAGAAGATTTATGAATTTCCCTGAAAGGAATTCAAAATAAAATTTCAAAGAAGCCTAGTGAACTCTAAGAGAATACAAATAGATCATTTTTTTAAAAAATCAGGAAAATAAAATACACAAACAAAATAAAGAAGGCCACCAAAGAGGTAGAAACCATAAAAAAGAACTCAGCAGAAATTCTGGTGCTAAAGAAGCAAATCATTGACCTCAAAAATTCCATGAAGAGCTCCCCTAGTGACTTAATCAAGCAGAAGAAATAATCAAAACAGCTTCAAGAATGATCATTTGAAATTATCCAGTCAGAGAAACAAAAAGAAAAAAAAAAGAACTTAAAGATATGAAGAAATTCTGCAGGAATTCTGATACACCATCTAGTTAGTCAATATATGCATTATGAGTGTCCCAGAAGAACAGAGAAAGAGAATGGTAGAAAATTGTTTAAAGAAATTACAGGGCCAACTGGTGGTGCAGTGATTAAGGTGGATGGATCTCACATGGCCAGCTGCTCAGTTCAAATCCTGGACCCAGCAGCTTGAGAAACACACTGGGTGTGTGTGTGCAGGGCATCCAAAATCCTGAAAGGAGAAATGGCAGAGAAGGGATCCCCCTATGGGGTAGGGGTGCTTTGTCACTCTCTCTGTGTCTCTCTGATGAGCACACCCAGCCTCTGGCAAAGTTGAAAAAAATATAAAATAAACAAAAAGAAAAAATAACAAAAACTCCCAAATCTGGAGAGAGAAATGCACATCTAGATCCATGATAATTTCAAATAGATTACATATAAAAACATTTTTCCCCAAGTCACATTACAATCAAACTTTCAAAAGTTAAAGACAGAGAATTCTGACAACACTAGAAGAGTAACTCATCACATACAAGGGAACTAGTGCAAGAATCAGTGTATTTCTCAGGAGAAACCTTGGTGACCAGGAGAGAGTGGAATGATATGTTCAAAGTACAAAACAAACACACACACAAACAAAAGAACTGCCGACCAAGAATGCAATACCTGGCAAGGCTGCTATTCAGAAGTGAAGGAGAGAGAAGATTTTCCCAAACAAAAGCTGTGAGAGTTCATCATCATTAGATTTCCCTTACAAGAAATGCTAAAGGGAATTCTTTAAATGGAAAGAAAAGGATGCCAATTAGTAACCTGAAAGTATAAAAGTCACTGATAAAAGTTAATTTTACTATAACCAAGAAATCATTTTAAGAGCAAAATTTTAAAATTCTCACAACAATCCCCTAAAATAAATTATAACTATTGTACCAAACGAAGAGAAAAAGGCTCTGTGAAGTAAATTGCCTTTAAATCTATGGTTAGATTGTGACAGAGCCAGTTGAGTCCTTGTCTGTGTGACTCCACAGCCTATGTTGTTATTCCTCGACTATACCGTCAGGCATCCTATACCTCTGCTCAGGATCCTCCTCTCACCAGAAATGCCTTTTCCTTTTTCCAAAGTATAGCAAAATTTTAGGCAGTTTTCAATATCGGCTTCAAATGCCACTTCTTTCTTAAAGAGTTCCCTGAAACATCCGATTGAAAGTTATGCCTCTTCCCTCTGACTCCCACAGTCACATATCTACATCTTTCTTTTGACACCCAATATCTTCTATTTTGTATTATGATGCTTTGTACACATGACTTAATTTCTTTCAATTAGATCCTTAGCTCAAGGAGGTCGATGTTACTGGGCATTGGAAAGCAGTATCCACTTTTTGTCCCTGTAGAGGAGCATTTATTACCTGGTCTCAACCTCCTTTTCTAAATATGTCATCAAAAATATTTTTGGGTCAGCCCTGTGGCACAGTGAGTAAACACAGTCCATGAGGAGTCAGATCCCACATGACCTACTGGCTTGAATTCCAGCCCTGGAAGTTTGAATAACATGCCAGAAGCATGTGTATGCATGCCCCAAATTCTGATGAGATGGAGAAATAAATAAAACAAAACAAAAAAGGATTGTGGAATGTCTACTCCCACTGGGGAGTACTCTCTCTCATACACACATACTCTCTCCCCCCCATCCCTTTCTCTGGCAATTAAAAATTTTTCAAAAATCTATCTCGTCTTCCATGCCCCTATTATTTCTCTCACTCAGGCCCTCAACCTTTCTCCTGCACCACTCCAATCATCCTCTTCTGTTCCTGACCCACCTTTAACTTCTTACATGAGTTTGCTAGCACAATCATTGCCATGAGTGGTTTCCACTGGCCAATGCAATGTACTCTACACACCTTGACCTGCTACAGAAGACTTTCAGTAGTGTGACCCTCCTTATCCCTTATATCTAGATTATAGTTACCTTTTCTTATGCTCTAGAAATATTTCATATGCTACACAAGATTTCACACTTTCATGACATTTTCAGGCTATTCTTTCTTTCTGAAATTCCTTTTCCTTCTCTCTTTGTCAACTCTTACATTAAGACTCATCTTGGAGGGACCAGCAGTTGGCATAATGGCTATGTTGCTGGACTCCTATGTAGTCAACTGCTGTTCGAGTTCCGGACCTGGTGGCTTAAACTCATACAGGGCACGTGTGCATGCGTGCCCAAGATCCCAAGAGGAGAATGGAGGAGAAGGGATTGTGGCGCGGCCATTCTTCCTGGAGGTGATTTATCACTTTCTGTCTCTCTGTCTCTCTCTGTCTTTCTGATGAGCACAGGTGCAAAAACCTCTCCAAAAAAAAAAAAAAAAGACTCATCTTGGACAAAACATCCTCCAAGAAACATGTTCAGAACTATGCTTTAAGCTGGATGTTCTTTTTTTCTCTTAGGGTCTATTCATAACTTATTATGCTCAAATGCACAGTTCTCTTAGTTGTACCATGTTAACGGAAATGACATATACAGTCATCTGTCTCATCCATATGCATGTATACTTCTGGAGAACAGGAAGCATGCCTTGGTTGTCTTTGCCTTCCTTGTGCCTAGTCAATACACATATTGGGTATCCAAATGTAGTAGTTCATTGATTGAATAATAAAAGTTGAGTATTGTATTCTACCTCAATACAGATACCACCAGGGCCTACTGAAGTTTAGAGGAATTATTGCCCGTATTAAGTGATCCCATCTTGCTATATTTCACAGCACTCTGTCTGCTGTCATTTCACACTGTGTTGAGAATAACTGTCTATATCATCTTGTCTCCCTATAAGACTTTATTGAAAGTCTTTCTAATAGAGGACTCTGGCTACAAATCAGAAAATCAGGATGACTAGGATTAGAATAAGAATACCAAAGTTCTGAGTGGATTTCACAAGGACTTCTGGGTAAGTAAATTTTGTGAATTTTGTAAATGTAGCTGCAATAACCTGTTTTGCCTAATTAAATTATTTTTGGTGCCATTTCTGGTTCTCAATATTCTTAAGACATGTGACTCCAGCATTCAGAAAAGAGAGTCAGAACCAACTGGGATGAACTATGCACCATTCTGCCCTTTCTTTGTGTAATTTTAGTGAGACCAAGACTATTCTAGACATACATTCTTTGCATTCACACATTTTATCTTATTTGATCCCCAGAAGATCCTTTGCAGCTGATATATTTTCTGAATTTTACAGATAATGAAAGAGACACATAGAGGTTAATGGGCACATCTTAGGTCACACAGTCAATAAGTAGCTCAGTTATGCTGTAAATCAGGTGTCTTCTCTCAAAATCCAGTGTTCTTTCCTCAACCTAACACATTGCTCTATACAACTCTCCTGTGGGAAAATTATATTTGTCTAAACCTCTGCTTTTTTAAACTGTGGGTTGAAACCCACTAGTTGGACATAAAATCAATTTAGTACTGAGTCCCAAGCAGCATTTAGAATAGAATGGAAAATACAGAATAGAATAGAATAATGACAATATGCAGTGTCAGAGAATGAGTATTGCTTCATGAAACTTTTATTGCAGGTCACAATATACAATATTTTTCCCACACTGGGTCAGAGTAAAAAATAAAACACTGGGGACTGCATGGGGGTGTGGCAGTAACATAATGCTTTGCAAGACTGACCCACATGGTAAGGCCCTGGGTTCACACCTGGAGACCTCCCTGAGCACATCAGGTGCACAGGCATACAAGTTCATGATATCCAGGGTCAGCTGATGCTAGAGGATTGTGGAATGAGGACCCTGTTGGGGATATTATCCATCTGTCTCTTGTGAAAGAAATAATAAACTTGAAAGGAAATATATATATATAATATATAAAGTAAAGGTTCTTTTTAAATCACTTTGTCTAAAAGGGAAGTTATCAAAGTGACTTAGTCATTGCCCCATTTGTACTACATGTTATCAATAGTTCCAGTCTTCTTTGGGCACTCACTGGAACTTGATAACTTCTACTTTCACCATCACAACATGCTCATCTCTCCTGGCCTCTGAGACATCCTTTTTCTTGGTACATCCACCTCTCTGACAGTCCCCATTGCAGTGCCTCAGCATTGGTGTAGCCTAGTGTTCCCCATGATCCTATTTTATTCCTGATCTATTTTCTTAGCATGAACCGAGCTTCAACTGCCATCTAAAAATCAACTATCTCTGGATCGATGCATCTCACCCTTGGTCCTCTCCCAAGCTTCAGACTCATATTTTTAACTCTCTACTGAAAATCTCTTCTTAGATGTCCATGGGTCTTAGAGTCAACAAGTCTAAAGGAATTCATTATTGTCCTTTTAAGTCCCCTCCCCTTCTCGTGGCACTGAGAGGCACCTCCATTCACCCAGCCATCCAAGCTAATAACCTGGGAGTCCTAGACTCTTCTCTGTCTCTCATGCCTCGACATCTAATCAATGGCCACGTCCTGTCAATTCTGCCTTTGCTATATCTCTAGAAATTGTCTGCTCTGCCACTTTCTTAGTTCACAGCCTCATTATCTCTCATTGAGCTACTGCCTCCACTATCTCCATGCTCCAGTCAATCTTCCCAGTGTTGCCACAATTTCAAAAATGCAAATCTGACTAGGCTGGCTCTCTATGTAAAACATCACATGGTTTTCTCAAGTGTGGGCTAGACTAAGATCCACACCTCTCAGCACTACGTGAAAATCCCTCCATTCTTCTCCCTCCTACCTCCTTATCTCCTCCCATCTCCCCCTCACCTGTCTCTTCAGGTTCCCCTCTTACCATAGCAGATGTGCCAACCCCCTCTGACTCTCTCCATGAATGCTCCCCTCACTTCATCCTCCTGACAAGATGCCATTTCATGTGTAACTCTACTGTTGGCTCCTTTAAGGCTCCACTTTTTCAGATTCGTCCACTGAGTAGATACTCCTGGGTATACTCAAAGCTTTAGGACATTCTCTAAGCACATTTTGCCTCTCAGATCACACTAGATTGTAATTGATTATTTGCATTTTAGATTCCGGCACTCCACCCACTGTGAATTTCTCAGGAGCTAGAATGATGCCTTATCCACTTATCTATGCCCAAGGCACTGGCATGTAGTAGGTGTTCAATAATGTTTCTAAAATAAATGAAGTGTCAGTTTTGCAGTTTACTGTTACTTTGAGCAACTATCTTAACTTCTCAAACTTCATTTTCTTTCTCTGTAAGTGAATAGAAACTAATAGTGCTTCTATGTACTGGGTGTACAATAACATAGTAAATATGTTATTTAATTTTCACCACAAACCTCAGAAATAGAAATTATTCCAAATCTTACAGGTAAGAAAAAGGTGGTTGGGAGAAACGAAGCAAATCATTTGTGATTGGTCAACCTGTGAATGTCCGAAGTGGGATTTGACCTTAAATCTCTCTCTCTCTGACTCCAGACCTCTTTCCACTACAATACCAATAAAATAGAGAAGAGATTATTAACCTCACTGGGATTAAATGTGATAATGTATGTGAAAGTACTTTGCAAACTGTTAAACGTTATCAAAACATGAGACGACATTGCGGTCGTTAAGATCTGCCATGGTCTACGTATCATGGTCAGAATCTCAGTGACTGAGTATTGGAAATCATCCAGTGGTAGCTGGCTGCAAAGGACTATGGGAGTCAGACATGTCTCTGGGTCTGTTTGTGCAGAATACTTGCTCCCCTGCTTGTGGATGCAAATAACTGGCGGCAGTGCAACAGGAGGCCCAGTGAAGCGTACGGGTGCTGCGCGCAGGGAGAAATGACAGCGGGTGTGCTTGTCAGTTACAGGTTACGGCACCTTATGAATGTGCCCGTGACACCATTGTGTTTTAGAATCTTCAGGCGGCTTTGTTGTTGCAACATCCCATTTAGAGTCTTGGCGTTGTGCTTAGGGTCATGAACTGCACTGCTTTTAGCTGCTGCCTCTAGTTTGTGGATCATCCTGTTTACAATCTTTTGGATGCTATCTGGGTGGCATGCCCGCAAAACGGCAGTGATGTATGGTACTGCTTGCATCCGGGAACCACCTAGAAAGGCAGGATTCACAGTCAAAACGTATTGCACTCAGCTGGCCACTTAGTCACCCTAAGCCATCAGGAGGGTCCTGAAAGGACAGTTGGCCAAGGGCACGTGTCAGCCATTGGCTTCTGGCCTGCCAGAGCCACTTCCTTCCATTGAAGGCAAGGATGTGAGGAATAGAGCTTTGTATTTTTACTGACTGAATAAACTGTCTGGGCAGTGGAAGGTTAGCTCCTTAATTTTCCCTTTCATCGTTTGAACGCTACTTAATTCCATCTAACATCATCGCTTGTTAATGTCTCTTGTTTTTTATTGCTGCAAAGAGACATGCTCTAACCAATCTGGACAAACCATGGACATGTCCTTAATTTAATGTCTGCTGACCCTAGTTTGTGGCATTTCTCTTCAAGCACATTTTCCCTGGGTCTGTAAACTCTCATTTGCGTCCCTCCCACATCATTTTCCAAACTCAGTTCACTTTCTTTTCAAGTTATTTATTTTATTTTATTTTATTTTTAAAGAGGAGTGGGGAACTTCACAATAATGCTCTGAAAAGACTATAGAGGGCCAATCTGTACCATGATGGTTTAGGAGCCAGATCCTACATGGACAACCTCAGTTCAAATCCCAGCCCTGGAAGCTGAAAAACCATGCCAGGCATGTGTGTGTGCCTGCATGCATATGTGCCCCAAATCTCGATGGGATAGAGAAATGGAAAACTGATGGTGGTGTGACAAAACTCCATTGCAGTGTGCTTCCTCCCTCTCTCTGTCACTCTGTTTCTCTCTGGCAAGTGCATACACCTCTGGCAATGAACTTTTTTTTTTTGGAGAGATTTTCACTGTAGGGCACGTGCGCTCGCCAGACAGACAGAGAGAGACATAGAGACAGAAAGCGAGAAATCACCCCCCAGGGGGGATGGTCACGCCGCAATCCCTTCTCCTCCATTCTCCTCTCGGGATCTTGGGCACGCACGCACACGCGCCCGGCGTGAGTTTTAAGCCACCGGGTCTGGGACACGAACCGCGGTCGACTACGTGGGAATCCAGCGACATAGCCATTACGCTAACTGCTGGTTCCCTGGCAATGAACTTTTTAAAAAGGTGGAGAAGAGAGATTCCTTGGATAACAAATCAAATCTTGAAAAATCTTGCCTTATTTCTTAGGAACAATGAAATGTGACTTCCTATAGTAGACAATAACTAATTTAACCTTGTATGCTAATGAAAATACCTCCCATCTTTAACCCTTCAAAGATAGCCTTTGCTGAATGCTCTCAGCTTACCCCAGAAATGGTGGGTCATGATCAGTTTTGTAGTGTAATGACTAGTACTGGATCTACTTGATCTTAAACATCGCCAGCTTGCTCTGGAAAATTTCTAATATTCTAAGGAATGCTAAGATGTTGGTAATACTCTGGCTTCTACACAACAGGTAGATAATTAGTCATCCCGATTCATCAATAAAGTGCCTAGATACTAGATAGTGACTTTTTTTAAGAGAGATTTTCGCTACACTTACTAGAGACAGAGAGACAGAAAGCAAGAAATTACACACCAGGGGAGATGGTTATGCCACAATCCCTTCTCCTCCATTCTTCTCTCAGGATCTTGGGCATGCATACATCCATGCCCATTATGAGTTTTAAACCACCGGGTCCAGGTTTTGAACTGTGGTTGACTACGTGGGAGTTCAGTGATTTAACTATTATGTCATCTGCCAGTCTCAGAAAGTGACTTGTCTTGAATTTCTCTTGGGGTGAACATATAAATTATCCTCCTTTCCTCTCTTTTCCTGGAAAAGGGTGATGGATTATGGATTCTCTGCCGGCCACATTGTTACTCATTGGAGAATGGTCAAAGGAAGTTAGACTAAGGGGTAGAATCCACTCAGTTGCTATGGCTTTTATTGTAAGAACTAAATGCCCTGGCTTGCAGGACCTCTCTGTTTACTATGGAGGCAAATGAACATGTTGCCCTTTTAAAGATGGTGGAGGGAGACCAGAAACACAGAGTGATTTTTCATAGGATGAGCAGATGACAAGCAGAGGGAAAGAACCCAATATGCTTAACTCCTTGTTCCAGCTCTCTATGCTGCCCCAAGCTGTTTTCCAAACCTGCTAGAGGGAGTAAATATTTAGGGTTCTCTGGTTTTCTTGCTTTCATCTTTCATAACAATTTCTGTTAATTGGGGGTGGGGGGATAAAGGCATCTGTAAGGAACCAAATCTCGTAAACTCAGTACCTCAGTTGTGCCCCTGAGATGCTGTAACTGTACAGATAACAACACAGAGCTGAAGCTAATAGCCCAGCATGGCTCACGGCAGTGTTCTGAGCTTACCTACAGATGCACTGTGGTGTTACTTATGGAGATGACAGATTTACTGTAGCTCGACTTAATAAAATAACATTTATGGGAATATCTGCACAATTAGAGCACACTTCAGGTCATAAATATACTCTAGCCAATGTCGCATCGTACACCTTCCCCTACTTTAGGACACTGCTGTTCTTCGGAGATTGATGAGAACTCCAGCAGGTAAAGGCAGCAGGATGCAGGGAAGGTGCTTTCGAAAGGATTAGAAGTTCCCCGGTGCTGAGATCATTCTGTTTCACATCCCATTCCTCTGGATAACCCCACCACAAGTGCCTCAATTGTAGCTGGATCTCCCAGTTCATGAACATGTTCACTGGAAACCACAGGTGTGGTTGAATGTAGTCACATAAACATTCACTTCTTACCCATGTGAGCTTGTGCACGTTTTCGTAGCTCTCTGGATCCCCCTTTTCTTATGTCTAAAATCAAGGAGTTGGGTTGATGACCTCTAAGAGACTAGAATTCAAAGTTTATTTTTTTGAGGTCATTTACTAAATAAACTTGGACAAAAGCAAATATTTAGTTATCACAGTTTTGAACTCCACCTAACCACTGTCCCTCCATCCCATCCCCAATAATAGGTTCTAGAATTCCCTGAAGTCACTGAGTCTCTAGGCATTAAATGCACTATGAGTGGGATGGTCCCTCCAACTCTTGGCTCCCTTGACAATGGCAATGGTGGTGTTTTATGGGATCTCCATAAAACGGTCATGAGGATAGAATTACTGTTGAGGCAAACAGTTCATTGATTCTTTGAGTTATTGTGTTGAGTAACTTACCAGATGGCTTTAGTGCTGTGTGGACATAGTCTGGGTCAAAACTGCTAAAAGCAACTGTGTAGGCAAGGCCAGCCTCGGTTTGAGTCACAATGACCAGCTGGAAAGCGTAGAATGTGACCCAACAGTGAGCTGCTCCCCTTTCATCATGCCAGATAACCAGCTTCAGTTATTTTCTTCTCCCAATGACTTAACTGCTTTCTCAACTGAGGTGACTCACTTCTCAGATTGTTTCCAATCATGTGGACACAGCCCAAGTCACCGAATGCTGTTACCATTTCCTTTAGCCCAGTGAGGTGGGAGTAAAAATGCTGAAGCTGAGTGACTCACCACATGTTACCAGCCATGGGACTTCATCACTTCCTCCTTCTGGGTGCAGAGTACTTGCTGCAGACATGGAAATAAACAGATGCTGTGAGACAGTAACACACACACCACGCACACACACACGTACACATGCACTGTACAAGAAAATATGGCCAGGCCACTCAAAAGGATAGACATCTTGAAATTCTGTAAATTGCCATTAACTCAGGACAAATTGGGCCCATTAATACAGAAAAATGCCAATTTCATTGATTTGCCTGTCTTCCAGTTCACTTGCTTCTCTTCGCAGTATGACAAACTCTACCTCTGATCATCCTACTCTCCTTAACAGAGAGGCCAGAAACTGGGGCTGACCTGAATGAGTTCTGTGGAGTCCAAACCAGAATACTTCTTACTGAACCCTGTGGAATGGGGGGTGGGGAAAGGAAAGTATGATTAAAGTGTATCTGATCAGTAAGTCACATACCAGTGCTAGGAAGGCCTGAAATGTTTATAGGGAGTCAGAATTCATAAGCTTCAAGATATGGGAGAGGATGAACTTAGGGGGCCAAGTGTTGAAACAGGCGAGCAGGAGAGTAGTCCTACAGAGTGCCCAAGATGGGCAGCTGCTCATGGCAGCCCATTACCCATGAGCTCCTGGGCCCTCTGCTATGATCAGTCAGTCCTGTGCTATCAGGAGGCACAATGATATTGAGGCACGGTGCAATAACTTTGTAAAACCCTTTCTACTAAACTATTTCTACTAAAGTGGAACCTACCCATACCCTGTGATTCTAGCAATTGCATTCCTAAGTATGTAGAAATACAGATGGGTGTAAACCAAAAGACCTGCAGAAGGGATTAGAGTAGCATTACGCATCATGATCTGCACCCAAATGTCTCTAAACAATGGACCAGATCATTATGAGTTACTCAGAAGTGAAATGGTACACAGCAATGAAAACGATCAAACTGCTTCTTACAAACATCACATTGAGTCGAAAGTGCTAGATACCACATACTACATTGTGTGTGGTTCCATTTAAATGAAGTTCTGAAATAGTCAAAATGAATATGATTGAAGTCAGATGGCCACTTTTGAAGAGGAGGGTAGGAGTTAGTGGTTGCAATAGGACCTCAAAGAAGCCCCTGGACAGCCGGAAATCCTCTATTTCTTCTCACCACTCCCTCTTCTTCTCTTTGATAGAGAGCATGTGTATGCACATGCAGAAGAAAGACAGAAAGAGCAAGAGAACACCGTCCATCGGGTCGCATCATGCTGCAAGCCTCTTTCCTGAGACCCCAGCTCCTTAGAATCCTCAGCCCTGAACACCTGCCCTGTGTGTTCTCAGGTCAACTCTGGGATCTAAACTTACAGCCAACCAGATGGCTCTCAGTCTTGAAGGGCAACTGAGACACCACCATGCCATTGCAACTGGGCCGAATTTCCTGTTTCTTGATCCAGGCAGGAGTTATGCTAATGTATTTACTTTTTGTGTATATTATACTTAAATACAAATATTTATAAAAATTTTAAGCAGGTTGTAAGACAGAGGGCAGGTGAAGCAGACCCTAAGTTATAAAAGTTCTCTGCTACCAGGTGAGCTGTTCATGCGAAGGAGCATGATTGTACCTGTGGATTATGCAGGTTTTGTCTTGCTTGGTGTCTGAGTGTGCAGTCTGTGAGATCATCTCAGGATGGCTGAGAGAACAGATTTGGGGGAGAGCAATCTGCATGCTCGCGTCCTTCCCCTGCAAAGGAATATACAGAACGGGTGGTGGTGGCATGGAGGTGAAGGTGAGTGGAAAGGTGAAGGTGTGTGCTTGGGAGAGAAGGAAGAATATGAAGGGGTGTAGAAGTAGGGAGGAAGAGACCACTGGCTTCTCACATCTGGACTCTGAAACCACCATCTGATGCAACGCCCCTCAGAGGCGCCCATGCTAATCACCACCAGCTGACACCCCCAGCCACATCTGCAAGGCCTTGGCTAATCACTGCCCACAATTGCCTACACCTGTCTTCCCCACCCGCCAGCCCCTGCCACCTGCCTGCCTGCCACTTTCAGTCCTCACGCTAAATCAATAACAAAGACCTCCAAGGGCTGCCTAGCTTCTCTGCTGTTGCCCCCTCCCCTTAAACTCACATTCCCTCCTCCCCTCCCAAAGCCTGATCCATCTGCCCAAGTTCAGATCTGCTTTGGCAGGACTGGCAGACCGGTTCTCGTCACAGACAGCATGGTTCTGCCTGCCCTTAGCAGCTGCCGACGCTGCATTTTAAGAATCATCACGTCTGGGGCAAGTCCATTAAAAGACAGTAACAATGTATATTGTGCAGTGACCCTGGGGGCACCCAATTCCACCTTGTTAATGATCTTTTTGAAATAGCCAAAGCTATGGATAGAGACATGGTTCAGAGGTCCCGAGTACTCGTGTTGTTGGGACACAGCTGCATTTGCTGCGTTTGGGTGACATTCGGGAATGGCTCTCATGCTAATGGGGGCAGGTCCTCGGAGACTCACCCAGCCAATTAAAATGCTCTTCAGGAGTGTGCCGAATGTCCAGTCACTGGGCAGATCTGCGAATATTTAGCCTAGCAAGGAGAAAGCTAAAGACATAGCTACCTAGCCCAGGTCAAAAAAATGAATGTTCTAACAATGAATGTCCTCGTTGTTTCTCCCCCAAGTTGGGACACCTGGGTGAAAGTTAGATATTCAAACCACTGCTTTGGCACTCTCCTGTAATCCAACTGCGATCTTACGCACTGATCCCTCATGCAAGAAAGCAAACTGAAATGCAGGTGAGGTGAGAGGGATTATGATAAATGCACTTTGGAATTATTATTTTTTTTATTTTCCAAACTAAACCTTCCCAGATTCAATGCTTTGTTATTGGTAGTAAATTACTTGCAGTGTACCTCAAAATAGATGAGACAACCCAGTGTGTTTTGACACCTAAGCTAAGAATTGCTGCTAGAATATGTAAGAGACAACAGCTAGCCTCACTATAAGGAACACACTGGTGAAAGGAAGTCGGAACTCACTGGTAGGAAGACTTGTTGAGCATTCAGCAATAACTCAACCAACATTTAATGAGTGCCTACTCGATATCATCTCTGCTAGGTGCGGGGCATGACTGACTATTGCAAGGGTAACTGGAATCTATGAATATCTCTCTGAATGGTTAGAAAATAAACCTAGAGCAGAGATTTGACAGAAAATGGACAGAGATGGTGACATCTTGGAACACATTTCTTTCGCATTTTCTTCCTTTCCAAGTACTTAGGGATAAATGTGTGACTGAAGTCTGTCCCAGGACTAGAGATTGTGGGAGTCTAAGAAGTGACTGTATAATGCAACTTGTGCCCTCACCTTCCTACACCTGGTCACTGGGCTCTGCTCTTCTATCTGCAGGCTTTGTCCCAGAGATGTTTGGAGAAAATGGCTCTTAGCTGTGGTCCTACTGCAAAGGGAGAACGCCAGTGCCCTCAGCACCATGCCCTCCTAATGGGAGCAGTGATGCAGAGGCCCTGCATCGGCAGTTGAGAGACACACGCTCTAGTTCCCCTAGGGTGTGATAATTCTAGGCAAGAGGTCAAGGGCCCAAGGCCTCATATAGTCGTCCTTGTAAATGAGATATGACCTTCCATGGCAGACAAGGAGTAGCTGGAAGCCGGGACTTTGAATTATTTGGATGTGCACTGCTGTTAAAACCCAGACCACTGGAAGCTAGAGAATACCTTCACTTGCCAAGTAGAACTTGGGCATCATTCAATTCTATCCAGTCCTCATATAACATAAGAGTTCTTTATTTATTTATATATTTATGTTTAGTATTTTTCCTTAAGGTGTGTATGCTCCCTGGAGAGAAACAGAGAGAGATGCAAAGAGGGGGGGAAAGTGAGAAATCATCCCCTGGGGGGATGGCCATGCTGCAATTCCTTCTCCTCCATTCTCCTCTTGGGATTTGGGGCACACATGCACGTGTGCCTGACATGGTTTTCAAGCAGTAAGTCCAGGACTTGAATCATAGAACTGGCCATGTGGGAGTCTAGTGCTCTCACCACCATGCCACCTATTGGCCTAGTTCTCTACTATGTAATCAGTGAGCATACCTCCAAGCCTGCTACCTTTCAATAAACACAGTCTCTGTCCTTTCCTACCTCCCACATCCTCACTTCTCATTAGCTAATTTTTCCATTCCAGAATCTTCCTTAATCTCTCAGTCCATTTGTCCCCTATGGCTTCAGTTTTCTTCCCCCAGCCTGTGCCCCTGGCCATCCATTTCACCTGCTCATGGACACTCTGGAAGTCTCCATTGTAATGACCTACAAGCCCCTTAGTGTCAGAACCCAAGTACAGACCATTTTTCACACTGCTGGCCTACCAAGGCTACTAAAACAAAACAAAACAAAAACAAAAACAAAAACAAAAACAAAAACAAAAAATCAACCTAGTCTTAGCTGAACTACCTTCTCTTCAGGAACCCATTCATTTTCTTTTATGGATTTCTCTACCTCGGCTCTTCCAAAACATTCTAATTTTCCTCAATCTCTCAAGTCTGTTCTTGTCCCCTCACCCTACTGTATTAGTTAGCTAGGGTTTGTAACAAATACCACAGACAGGTAACTTAAATAACAGAAAATTAATTCCTCATCATTATAGAGAAAAGAAGTTCAAGATCAAGGTGTTGGCAGAGGTGGTTTCTCCCGAGGCCTCTCTCCTTGACGTGTAGGTGGCTATCCACTTCTAATGTATCCTAATCCCTTTTTTTTAAGGAATCATATGGGATTAGGACCCACTGATACAACCTCATTTTACCTTTATTTCCTTTTTATAGGCTCTAACTAGCTCCAAAAACAGTTTTATTCTGAGGGTCTGGAATATATGAATTTGGGGTTAGAGAATGCAGTTCTCAAAAGACAACCTTCCTTTCTGATTCATTTTCTTCATCTGCCCTGCTCATTACTCCAACTATTCTCGAATCTTTACACATCTCTCTTATCTCTGTTGCAGCTCTTAAGTTAGTTTGAATGATAGCTTTTCTACAAAACTTTACTTGATCTTCTAGGTGGAGTGGAACATTTTTCCCTCTGTAATACTAACAAAGAGCACTAGGCTCTTTGGAAGGCCTCCTAGGTGTGTATCACTGTGCCAAGCAGTTAACACAATATTCTCATCTTCTTGTTGTAACAACCCAGTGTAATACTGGTCAAAGATCATAAAACTGAGGCCCTGAGAGGTTCATTTCTCCTCAGCCACCTGTGGGTGTACAGGATGAAGTATGGTGCAAAAAGGAATGCTCCTTTTAACTCTAAATGTTTTTATGGCAAGACCTAACAAGTTTTTAGTGGCTGTTTTGTTTCATCTCCTTCCTTTCTAAATGAAAGTGGTTGTGCCTTGGCCTCCTCTTCACGCCAAGTGCCCTGGTGCAAAGGAACATAGTCCATGGCTGTTGATGGGGTGAACAAATGAATCCTCTTCATGAAAACTAAACTCTTCTTCCCCTGCTTGCATTCTTGATCTTCTCCTCCTCTGAGCTCTTCTCCATGTATTATTCCCTTTCTTTTGAGTCTTTAATATCTTCCTTTCCACTGACTTAATTCTCTCTCCCTAGGGTACATCTCCTCTACATCTCCTCTACTCTTAAAAACACTCTTCTCCCTACCTTGATGCCTCAAGCTAACAGACTATCACTTTCATTCCCTTTCCTTTTAATCTAATTAAAGGAGAAGCTCCACTTCCTGGATATTCTAATTCTATTGTGCATTGTTGGTAGTTTTTAAAGTCACTCCATATGCTAAGTTTAGGGACTTCTGATCTATGCTCTGGGCCTCCACTTCCTTATCTCCTAAATTCCCGCAACTGGCTTTCATGCCGCCACCAAAACCACTCTCTCAAGGTCTTCAAAGATTTCCTAGACACCACATTCTCCTCAGAGCTTTGTGGCATTTGGCTCTGATGGTCCCACTCATGTATCTTTATTTTTGTCACAACCGTTGGCCTATTTCATTCCCTGTCTACTGTGTTTGATGCTTATTGTCCTCACATCTACCAGATGGAGAATTCCCCAGGGTACAGTTACCGTCCCTTCTCTCAATTTTTCCCCATATTCCCTCTCTCTGGGCAATTGCATTCACTTCCCTAATCTCAGTGACCTTGTCCATGCACATAGTTCCTAAATCTATAACTCAAACCCAACCTCTCTCTACAGTTCTGGGCTCACATTTACATTGGTCTTTAGAAGAGCTCCAACTGTGTGTCTGTTTGGATTTCTCCCAAAATCAAAAGTTGAGACAGGAATGAGTGCAGGTAGTTTTTGTAGGAAGTGATGCCAGGAGGCAGGAGAGAGGGAGCAGGGCATGGGATGCCAGACTAGGAAGCACTGATGTGATGAACATCGTTGGGATCATCAGTGCTGTGGGCAACAGAGCCTTCATTC